TTTCACTGCCATACCCCAAGTTCCCTCGGAGTTAAATAACCAAATTTGTATTACACTACCACGTGATAACTAATTAGATTGAACAAACAAAAACCATGCTTTAAATATGAATAAAATCGAAAAGACCTTTAGAGATATTTGCATAACGTTAAATAATTTAAAAACTTTGAAGGCCTCTAGCGACTAAACTACGCAACTTTGGAAATAGGTACATATATGTTGGGTAAAATGGTCACAATTTCGACGAAGGAATTTGTGGTACACAGTTGTACATGTCTATCTCAAAAATCCGTAGTGAGATTAATTCTTTAAATATGACAAGTATTTCAAATTGTGAAATCTTTGTATTTGTTTATTCTTTGGGATGAAGGTAGCGCGATGCTCTATATGTTTGAAATAGTTAACACGTGACCCAGAAACATCGGAAACTCTACATTAGTTCCACTTATATTTCAAATCAAATCAAATAATCAATATTTATATAGTACTTGATATAAACACGACGATGTTTTAGGATTAATTTCACAACAGCAACTACCTGCATTTCAAATAACAGCGCATAGAAGGATTGTTATGGTATTTAAGGTTCGGGGTATTTGGATCTCCACATAAAACTTATACATCAAATATTTATGAAGCATGATGAAGATAGAACTAAAAGATATAGTCAGCAAAACAAAGAAATAAGCATATTCAGTAGAACATTAATTCAGTTGTTACCTTTAGTAGAGACAGGCGCCGGGTCGGCAGACATACTAGTTTTCTTAAATCACTTGAAAATTATGGTCCACTTGCACCAAATTTATAAAAACAAGATAAATGTTGAATAAATTAAGAGATATTGTTATTGCAAATGGTCATCGTGCGTTGTACGTATCATATAATAATTCTCAGTTCATTTACAAATGTAGTCCGGAGAGTACGATGAGCATACCGGCGATGTGATAATAGGATGCAGTTTAGGATACGTTCGACCTACACGACGGTTGGTCTCCGACTGAGGGCTGAGGGTGTGTCGCGGTCGCGGGGCGGCCAGCGCGCTCTCCGGCAGGGGAAGGAAACACAGCCTCCGAGCAATAATAATTATGTAAGTATGAGGGTTGTTGATATTTTTAGAATTAAGGAACCTGAAGCAGACCGGTCGTGAGCGTATAGGCCCGGCGCCAGAGTGTGGTCATTGGCTGTACGCTGCCCGACCTCAAGCACCAACCAACGTGTTTTCTATATGAGACACATTTATGTGCTTTTACTCTTTGATACTGAGATAAAAGCACAGTTCAGTACATCAATAAATTTTAATTCGTCACAGTTCTTGCTTGATCTTGTATTTGAAAAAGGGTGGAATAATAGTTATTGCCTCATTTTTACATTAAATAAATCATTAGACACAGTCCAGTGTACACGAGCTAGAAACGGAATACTTTTACGGAGCAGTTTTTATTACACATTATCGCCGGAATTTATAATAGGTACAACACAACAACTTTAATTCTATTATCAACAAGAAGGATTAGTTGAAAGTTTGAAAGTTTATGTAGGTTAGCCGGTTTAGTGATTGCAGAGCGCAGTGCGAGCGAGTGGGGGAGGCGGGGGGCAATGCAAGCCACCCTTACACCACCACACCCTGTCCCATCCCTTTTTAAAATGCACATAGTAAAAATTATAATATGATGTGGACATGAGTAATGAAGCAACCGATCTCACAGCTACTGCGAAACTACTTAAACTCTTTATCTCAATATTGTATGGTTCATGAGAAGTTAATCATGGAACGAAATGGAACATGTCAAAAACTAAAGTTAACGTTTTCGGTTTTAAACATTACCAACATAAACTGTTTTGCTACAAAATGATTATAAAAACCTCTACCGAACAAACAAGCAAATATAGTTTTTTTTTTTATTACGGAAACATTTTTTGTAAAGCGCTTGTACTAGCACCTTGAAGCACGAACTTGAAGGTCGAGGGAGGTACGGAAATAGACTCGCGCGTACAAAGGGCGCGTGGCGACTTTATTGTAATTGGAATCATTAATTAACTTAGCCACCTTCTAGCTTTAGCCTCACTTACATAAGTTTAAATACTATCTGCCGCATGGTTTAGAGTATTGAAATATAATTTTACTCATTTACTAATAGATTTTAAAAGGTCTTGTGATGTAAAATGTCTTGTGAGGTACATATTATAGTTTTCGCAACTTGTGTAACCTTTTATTTTATAAAATAAAATCGCAGTAGTAAGAATTGTAGTATTAAATGCTTTTATCGGGGAATGTCAGAGATTGGCGTAGTACGACACTCGGTTTCCCAGAAGACGACGGTTTTCCAGGACGCGAGCCTGTCTACCCCAGGCCCTACCCCCGCGGCGGCGCCACCCGGACCCGGGGGGGCGGCCAGGGTCGGCCGGGGCGTCGCTGCGTGGGCGTATGTTGACAAACGGTGTTGCTGAGTCTATTTCTGGCGCTCGGCTCTGAGCCCCGCCCATGGGACCCCACCACCCGGCGCCCGCCTCCCTATCCCCTTTCCTTACATCCTAAAAGCGCCCTTGACCTTCCCGTATCCAAACGACCGCAGTCACAACAAGCGGGGGACGTTTAGCTGATTTGTTTGTATTGTCTGTTGCTTGTCCCGGTGCGTGTAAAATTTGGGCACTTTGCAGGTCACATGATATAACTAGCTAAACAATGTTACTTCAACAATAAAATCAAAATGTCACTTTTTTGTCGAAAAAATAGCACTTCTTCGTTCTATTATTCTATCTATAGGGCGTTAATTTGTTGCAATTTTTCTGCAAATGGAATAGCGCCAGCGCAGGCTCGAATAGAAAATTGGAATTTAAAACGCCTTTGTAATTCTTAATTGGGTACTAGTTTCAAGGAAAGATTTCCTATTTCTAATTAGAATCCAATATTTTCCCGTTATTCACTTTCATAACGTAATTTTTCTTTTATATTTCCTCACTCGACAGCTCCGAGAAATCATTAAGAAGTAGTAAACAAGGAAAACTGAGTACTTAGACGCGACTTAAAGCCGTGAACAATAAATCATAACAAGTTAACAAATATAACAAATCAGTTTTCAATGGTTGTGAAAACGGTACATAAACCTCTTCTCATCTAAGAGCTGATCTTAATCTCGTGTACATATACGTGTACAGAAAAACTCGGCTGCTATAAAAAAGATAGCATCTAAAGAAACGATTTATAACAAAGTTAATTAATTACAATTAATCAAGTTATAAGTCCTAAGTGTATTTTCTATATTTACAAGACTTAGCTATACTTAAGTACTGGAAGACGGGAACACATATTTTAGATGGTTTTAACAGTGGTACAGCCCGCTTTAACATCTTTGCACGAATTGTTCCGGGTCGCCCGGTGAAATACCACAACCACAAAGAAGACAGGTATGAAGTGGAAGCAATTCCGCGTTTCGTCTGATAAGTGTGGGTCCCGGAGGCCTAACTTAATCCTCTTTCCCTTCCCACCCTTTTTCTTATAAGGAAAGGATGGGAAGTGAAAGTGGACTTTCCGGATGAGAAGGTGCATGGAAAGGGAAAATATTCGTGCGAAGATGTTAAAGCGGGCTCTACCACTGTTATCTGCATCCTCTCCTCCGTCGATTAAAGGTAAGCAACGCATATGCTATTGCGTATGTCTATGGGCAACGTTCTCTTCGCTATTTCTGCGATTTGAGGTGACCGCTCGCTCGTTTGCCACCTAATGATATAAAAAAAGGAACCGACCTCGGCTAGAGCGCAGCGCCGCCCCTAATTTTGGTTGTTATGCAAATGTTAATCTTTCAAATAGTTAAGGATCTGTTATTGTAATTAAATTAGTACAATGAGTAAGTATACGTGACAAATAGAAACGCCGCATGTACGTGGCGGTTTGCTCTTAGCTTATTTCAATTCACGTTAGAATAATAATATTCTTAACAAACAAATTTAGATTTTTCACTTTGTGTGTTGGTATAATATATTAGTAGACGTTATGTAATGATGATGCCAAATATCATAACTTTTACCACTTTAGTCGTGTTCCACTCAACAAATCGCCATTAAAAATTAATGCGTGGAACAATATTACTTACATTTTTTATTATTTCAATTACATAAGCAAACAAAAGCATCCAAAGTACATGATATCAGCTGGTTGCATGATTAAGGAAGTAACGAGTAGCACGTGCAGGCAAAGCTCCAAGGTCGACCGGACGTCGACTTGGGCGCAGGGCGGCGGGCAGGGGCGCGGGTCGGGGGACGAGCGGGGCGGGGAGCCCGGGCCTGCTGCTATTTATACGTGAATCGATAGCGACCCGGCCGTGGCCTTGTGAACATCGATCGGGGCGTTGGGCCGAGCCTCCGGCGTACCCCGCGAAAACATCGCCACCTGCCCCCAACCCCCGGAACCCCAAATCACTACCCGCAGACATCTACCTACATCTGTCGACACCACTTAACGCTCCCATGATTAATTTAACCAATAATTTGTTAATGTTCAAATAACTAAAAGCCACAAAATGCTTTTGACACCTTGATCGTAAAAAAATTAAGGTATAATTAACACTGAATTGAAAAAAAAATGCCGTTAAAATCAGCCCAGCTGTTTAGGCAATTACCCAGAACACACAGATTTTTGTTTCTTTTTCGACTTAAAAAAAAATTGTTTTTGTGCTTGACGGACGACAAAAAGGTCTAGTGACTTGTCACCTTTGTGTCAGTGAGATGTTACTTGTATAAGATTTTGTTATCCATTTTGTATTTTGTTGAAAAAAATAAACAAATTTTCAATGTACTCTGTAATACATTGACACTGGTGAACAAAATAAAGCACCCAACTTATTACTCTTAGTAACTGATCATCGGAGCAAAACCAATTAAATATGTTATGCCATATTTATGTTTTTTTTTCTAATATTACAAGCAACATATTTAAGAATTAATAAAAGCAATGAAGGCTAATAAAATAATGATAAAATGTCATTAGTTTGTAGTTGACTTACCTAAGTGTGAGGATGAATGGCCAGAGTCATCGGCCATTTTCAAGTAACAGCCAGTTTTCTATAAAAACAAAAAATAATATTATACTATACAGTTATAATTTGATCCTTTTCATATTCTCGATATCAATATCTCATATGATTACCAGAGAAGCTATAAATTGGAATACCTTCAATAAGAAATCCTAATTTGTAATAAAAATAATGTGGTTATTTGTACATATAGAACATACATGTGGTGGTGAATAAATAACAAACAGCTACACATTGGTTTACTATTTAATGTTTTTCAACAATCAGATTCAAGCTGAGCTGTAGAGAAATGTAGTATGAAAGTGTACTCGGTTGAATTATTACCATGATGCACAGACTATGTAGAAAAAGTATAAGAGGTGTGACAGGACAGTAGAACCTACGACTTTTAAGGGTGGTCAAGGGTGTGATTATTATTTTAACTATACGCAAAGGTAATCTTTAATAATCTTTAACCTTGAAAATGGTTATGAATCAAATGAAGTCATAAAGATATTGTATTCTTATCAATCACACATTACGAAAGTTAACAACAATTTAGGATAGAATTTTTATATGAATTGTAACATTTTACACATGTAGAGTTTTAAAATAATCACTGTTTTTGTTAAACAAGTTGTTATAAAACGTGATAAAGATTATATGTAAGTTAATGATTAATGAGTATAATACTGATAATAATGGTAAATTGTATAATTGAAGTCAATTTTCAAGATCGAACATCTTTCTATACAAAGAATAACCCAGAAATGTTTGATCATAAAGAAAAATAATAACCAGATAGGCGCCAGCAGCCACCTGGTTTAACAGCAAATAACAACTTGCTCACAGACACTTTTAAGTAATTGTTTTACATCAACACTATAGCACTTGTCATATCCACTTTATAACTACACATTAATTGTTAAATTAATATTTTACACCTAAATTTTTCCATGGATAATTTCTTCAAAACACGTCCAAATGTATGTTTTTGCCAGATTTTGACGTCTGAAGTTGAGTTAGTTCACTTACGTTAAAATAATTAAACGCATTGCACTTGTCATACTTGGCAATTGACCCATTTCTCGCTCTTCTTATTTGCTTATTCGCTAATAAGAAACTTGTAAGAAAGAACTGTCAAACATTCAAACCAATCAAATTTTAATGGGTTTGTTTTATTTTGTAAAAAACTTTATTTTTCAGAACATGCGATTTCTACTCCAAATTAATTAGTACATTATAATGTTAATCTTATGTTTTATTTTTTAATAATTAATTAGGCTTGATTTAGAGTTGAACTTCGACATCGTTGACCAGTACAACGATATCAAAAAAGAATTGATCGAAATAAATCGAGTTAAAGAAATCGTAAACGAAGCACACTTTTCAAACTTTATTTTCAAAAGATTAATTTACATTGAAAAAGTAAAACTCAAATACCTAAGTGAAAGATGTTGAATGTTTTATGGTCAACAATTTAATTATTCTTCTTAACTTGCTCTTTGGTTTTTTGCCTTTGTTATTAATTTAAAACGTCAAACTTTATGTCATGAATGATTCATAGTTGTAGTTGTTCTTAGGATTTTAATATTGGTAAAATAAAATAGAAGTAAAAATGTTTTCTTCTTTGTTTGGCAAGAGGAGATCTTCTCCCGTGAAAGATGAAGCACCCCCTATACCAGGGCCCAGATCTGACGATGGATTTGTGATTGTTGATCCATCATCTCCAAGGAACAGTGTTTATCCAAGTATTAGTGACGTTCGACAAGTAAAGAGGCCAGCTCCTCCAGCGCCTGTGCCCAAAGCAAACGACCAAACCTTTCATTACCTTCAGGGCGTGCCTTTTATGTTGTCACGTGAATTACAAATGTCCAAAAATAAAGATGCCTTTGCCACAGAAATCGGGGATCTGCTTGCTTTTTTAACTAGCAAAATTAACATGAGCAGTTACGACTATGATTTCTCAGTTGAAAAAAGTGTATTGAAAGAGTGTTAAATGTGCCATATATGCCGACATTATTTTTAACGTGTTTTTGGTTTGTAGAACAAATTTTGTCTCAAAATGTAGTTAATAGCAACTGTAACAAGATTTTTAATAACTTAGCTAAGTTGTAAAAAAGTTAAATAATAAATAATTAAAACCCCTTTTCCTTATGAGAATGTATCTTTGTGGAAATTAAAATAACTCTGTTAAAATTGATCTGGTTTAGTAATAGCAAAACCATGTGGAGTGTTTAAGGTCTGCCCACCCCTTACCTAATTGAAGTAGGAAGATTACAATGTTATGCACTAGAATATTTTTCTATGTACACATAAAAATCAATATTTAAAGTATGTATTTGTGATCTGTAAATATAAATAATTAAGAATGTACTATACTAATTATATAAAGGTAAAATAAAAGTTAAAAAGATTTTTTTATTTGTTTCAAACCCGTTTAACATTATTAAACACTATCAAACACAAAGTACACAAAGTTTAAGATTGATAAAGTTATAAATTACTTGAAAAGTTGAAACTTATATAATTTAAGACATTAACACATTTCTCATAAGTTACATACATTCAACTGATCTCACCTTACGAGGTGAGTTAGCGACACTGAATATGTAAATTATAAATTTAATCTTAATAAATGAATATTTAAGTATGTCATATGTCAGACAAGTGTACAAACATCTAATAAATATCTATTAAGAAGTAGATTATTTATTTTATAAAATATAGTCTCATCATTGAATTGAGATCACTTCATCACCATCACCTCCTATATAGTGCTAGAAGTAAAATAGTGTGACTGGATAGGTATAATATAAAGTACCCATAGATGAATTTGGCAATGTGAATATCTTGGAAGTACATAAACACATCAGTATATAATTTCACAAGCACCATAATATAAAGATATACACATTATTATCTTTCAAAATAAGATTAAGTAGTCAAACTTACTACTTATAAACGAAATTATCTAACAATAAAGCAGCTTTTATAGCTAGCCTTAGTAGTGGTCTCTATGCGCCAATGTCAAAAGATATCAAACTGGAGAAGAATGTGAGAAACAAGATTAGCTCTCCCAAGAAAACTCTTAAGGCTCGCTTTATGTATATGTTCCATAATTCTGAAATCTATTCATATTAATAATATTTGAGTGTCCATGTGTATATCATATTGCAATGGCGGATGACCACCAGTTATACTTTTATTTCAATCGGTCTACAAATGAAAAGTCGCCTCGCCTTACCATAATTGAAACTGTGCTTGAGCCATTGCTATCAGTTACTTTCATATGATTAAAATAGAAATGTACTCAAGCAGTTGAGGTTTATATAATAGTTATAATATTAGGAAATACGTTTACATAATGATATTATTAAAATGGTAGATGATAACTAAGACATTGGCCCCAAGGCTAATGAATAATTAATAAATACACCATTGTGTTTGTGTAAAACCTACTTATAATATTGAAATATATTGTAAAACAGTGAGTCAAAGTTACAAACTTAACACAATATGTGTTTGTAATACATTTTAATGCATTCAAGAAATATTTTCAAAAACTTTCAACTCTCCATACTTTCCAATAAATCTGGATTTTGATTTCCTCAACCAAAATATAAGAAAACCAAAAATTAATAAATTAATAATGGTGGTAAAACACAATTTTTTCTTCCATATTACAGAGCCATCACAGCCTTAACACATTGGCAATAATTTCTATTTAAAAACTGCAGATTGTGCTTTTTCATGCTTTACATACATATAAGTAAAACAACAAAGAAATTAAAGATAGACCAATGAGATTTTTATAATGCAATCTTAAATTCTTGCTGCTAAGATACATATGAAGGCCGCAATGATAAGAAAAGGCAGCCACGTCTTCAAAAAGCTTCCAAAACTGAAAAAGTAAGATAATATTAGTATCAAATAAGAAAAGATATTTAAGATTTAAGACTTTGAAAATCTCAAAATATGAAACAACAATTAATTTACATAATTAATGGATTAATAAATTTCTACAATATTACATTGCAGGTTTACCTGACATATTTTGAATAAGGTATCATATAGAATGCCAGTTTCACCATGTTCCAGTTTTTGCAGCCTCCATAGTTCATGATGTTTAGAGCGGTGGCCACATGCGAGTGGCAGTTATCATAAAATATTATATGCTGTAAATAAAATTATTGTTTAATATATTTTACAACAGTGGCTGGTACCACTATACACATTAATAATTGAGACATGATTCTAAGTAATAAATACAATGCAATACTTTGTATTTAGGTGCCAAAGTTTACAAACCATCCTTTTTTTGTATATCTCAGATGCTTCTGCGACAGCCGTGTCCCAGCCAGCCTGTCCATTTGCTGCCTTCTGTGGGGAGAGTTGCCAGTACTTGGTAGGGTTACCAAAAGCCATCAGATCCTCTGATACAAAATATGGACCTGCAAAGTCCCTGATGACTCCATTTGAAGTACAAATTCCCATGTGCCCAAGGAATGGGAAAATCCATCTATAACACACAACAGGACTTGTTATTTAAACTTGCAATAAAATTAATCAACTCATTACCAAATGCTCAAAAATGAGTGTTATGGATATTTTTAATACAGTAGTACAGAGTGTAGTATATAAGAAAATAAAGACATGCAATGTTAAATGACAAATTTGTTTTATTCTGATCAAAGGTTGGGGTGTAGATTTTTGTAACGCACTTTGTCAAAAATTTCATTCTTATTGGCAAACATAGATACTTACGTTAGAACGGGTATAGGGGTCCAAACGATGCAGTAAGGATATCTACATCTCTCATGATCTATAGGATCCATTAATACAGCTTGTTCGCGATCACTGAGATCTAAAGGACTTCCAGGACTCTGATCACCATTCATGCTTGTAAATAACTTACACGATCGTTACATCCATATCAAAGCAAGCTCAGGCAGAAAATAGAAAGTTGAGATTGATATGTTTCCAAACTTGCAAAACACCAAAATAATATACCAGCACAGTTTTTGTAATTCAGTTATTATCGTTGACTAATCGATAAATGATAAATATTAGTATTTAGACTGTCAGATGTCAGTCAAATTGTAATCAAGGCAAAACTTTTTTTTAATTTTATGACCTGGTAACATAGACCTTTAGGTCATCAAGGCAAAACTGTCATCACAATCCAAAGAGCAAGTTTGGTCATTTTAATAATAATTTTTCTTAAAAATATAGTCTGTTGTCTTGGTAACTTTTATCTGTATTTGCGCTAATCTGTGACTCGATGACATGTGTCACTTGTCAGACTGCGAATGTTTGGCGCTTTTCACTTTATTGTTGTTGTGGAATCGACAGTTCAGTAATTTTTAGTTTTATCAATGAAGGTTTTGTAATGTAAAAATGCCGGCGTTTTTAAAGTATATTGACATGGAAAATTTCAAGTCCTACCGGGGTCAGCACCGTGTAGGACCTCTGAAATCTTTTACTGCCGTTGTTGGTCCGAACGGTTCAGGTATGTAATACAAGTTTTCAGGTCTTTAATGTCATCAAACCTTTACATTTACCCGCCAGCATTCTTATAAACATATAAACATTTTGTAAAACTATACTTTGTGAATATAAAAGATGAACGTTAAGTAAATTGCAGTGTACTTCGAAAGTTTGTTTTAATGGTAGTGGGTAGTCAAACACATCAAATGGCTGTAAGGGTGTTATTACTGCTTTACTCTGAACTATAAAAAAACTCTTTTTTTAGGAAAATCTAATTTTATGGATGCTGTAAGTTTTGTAATGGGCGAAAAAACTTCTTTACTCCGAGTGAAACGTCTCAGTGACTTGATACATGGTGCTTCTATCAACAAACCTGTATCAAGAAGGTATTTACATAATTTATTAATAGTAGTGTAAATGTTGTTAACAAAATAGATTAGTACACTGTAAAGTTATAGTCTAAAGAATGTGTTTAATAATTTATCAATTTATTTAAATAGTGCATCAGTCACAGCGACATTTGTTCTGGAAGACATGACCACAAAGCAGTTCCAGCGATCTGTAATAGGACAATCCTCTGATCATAAGATTGATGGACAGGTAGATTGGTTTGCTTTTTTAATTAATTATATTATACATTTAATTAGTACTTATATTTACTTTGTAATTGCAAAAATAAATATTTGATTATGCTATGAAAATGCAAACTGTTTTCATCTGAAATGTAAGTGATTTTCTAACTTTTCCATAGTGTATTTATTATGTTTTATAAGTTAAAGAATTGCTATATGGCAAGATATCCTTGTGTATCCTTTTAGCCTTTAGTGGGTTTACATAATTTTGCTTGTCAGTTGTCCCGCTTGTTTATTGTCATTCCTATTTAGCCTTATTAGGCCTAATATTTGATGTAAAATGATGAAAAAGTTTTTCTTAAAACTTGTCCATCTTAGTTATTTTTGTTATTGAATGACTATATATAAAATGTTTTTTCTGCAGTCTGTGTCTGTAAGCCAATATCTAAGTGAGCTGGAGAAGCTCGGTATTAACGTAAAAGCCAAGAACTTCTTGGTTTTCCAAGGGGCTGTTGAATCTATCGCAATGAAAAACCCCAAGGAGAGAACTGCACTCTTTGAGGAAATTAGTGGGTGAGATATTTTACATTCAGTGTAATTAACATTTTTGATTTTTGCCATTTTTTTTTAAGTTACTACTTATTCATTTTACTTTAAGTTCTGGAGTATTAAAGGAACAATATGAAGCATGCAGAGCAGAGGTAAACAGAGCTGACGAAGAGGCTCAGTTCTCATATCAGAAGAAAAAGGGAGTTGCTGCAGAACGTAAAGAAGCAAAGTTTGAGAAAGAGGAAGCAGAGAAATATACACGTCTCAAACAGGAGTTGGTAAGAACCCTCCATAAGTCTAATTTAAATTAAAAAATGTGCCCGTGACAAAGAAGTGGTAATTTTTTTTTGTTTTATTTAATTTACAACAATTTAAATACCACATTGAGCAAATATGTTTAAAAATAGTAATCTTTTTTTATTAATTTCGCAGCAAGAGCAAAAAGTAGAACTTCAACTATTTTATTTATATCACAACGAGAAAGAGATTCAGTCTCTGGAGGAGGACCTGCAGCACAAGCAGAATGAGTTGACTAAGGTAGAGAAGAAAAGACAGAAGGCAGAGGATGCTCTTAAAGAGAAGAAGAAAGAAGCGGGCACAGTGCAGAGGGAACTCGCTAAAATAGAACAGGATATAAGAGAAGTGGTATGTTGGATATTTTTTTTATATTTTATGAATTCAATAATTATGGATGATGGGTTTTAATTGTTTTACATAAAAGTAATATTTAAGCATTCATTATTGAAAAGGATAAATATATAACATAAAATTTACTTTGACACAATAAGATTTTGATATAAAGATGAAGTATTGTAATAATGATGTTCTTTTAGGAAGCTGAAGTATCAAAGAAGCGGCCGACATTCATAAAAGCAAAGGAGCGCGTCACTCACACACAGAAGAAGTTGGAGAGCGCTTTGAAGACTCTGGAGCAGGCGCGGAAGGCACACGAGGCGCACCAGACCGACATCAGGAAACTGGAGGAGGAGCTGCGCCAGGTGGAGGAGCAGAAGGCCGCCTGGGAGCAGACTATACTCGGCACCAGCCACACCGGCAGAGCTGATGTGCATCTAGAGGAGGCTCAGGTATAATCATCATGTTGATAAAAGATATACATCTAATAGACATCTGCAATAGTGTGACATGAGATGAGGCATTATATTTGTTTTTACAGCAAGTTAATAGCAAAATCGACTCCTCGCTCCGATTTGAACTTTAATTCCGTTTCGCTTATTGGCGGGTTATTATTTCAAAGTTTAACAGAACAAATATAAGTTGAACAAAGGGATGTAAGCAAATGTGTTGTCTGCAGATCCGCGAGTACGAGGAGCTGAAGATGGAGGCGTCCCGTCAGGCGGCGCGCTACCTGCAGGAGCTGGACTCTGTCAATCGCGAGCAGAAGGCCGACCAGGACCGCCTCGACAACGAGATGCGCCGCAAGGGAGAGGTCGAGAACAAGCACCGACAGAAGGTACCGCCCCCCGCCCCCCCCCCCACTGTTGATTGTTGTGTGTTAACATAAGTTGTAATACAATTGTAATGCAAGTCTTGTGCGAGAGCAGGGTCACGAGAGGAACGAGGCAATGAAGCGAGTGGAGAAGTTAAACGAGCACATCAAGAGCTCGGAGCAGGCGCTGGAGGAGCAGCGGAGACTGAGAGCGGAGCTGCAGGCGGACGTGGGCGAGTGCCGCGGGCGGGCGGCGGAGCTGCAGGCCCAGCTGGAGGAGGTGGCCTCGCAGCTGGGAGACGCGCGCGTCGACAAGCACGAGGAGGCGCGCCGCCGCAAGAAGCAGGAGATCGTCGAGAGCTTCAAGCGCGAGATCCCCGGCGTCTACGACCGCATGATCAACATGTGCCAGCCCACGCACAAGCGATACAACGTCGCCATCACCAAGGTCCTCGGCAAGTACATGGAGGCCATCGTCGTCGACACGGAGAAGACCGCGCGTCGCTGCATCCAGGTCCTCAAGGAGCGCATGCTCGAGCCCGAGACCTTCCTGCCGCTCGACTACATACAGGCCAAGCCGCTGCGGGAACGACTCAGGTCCGGTGCTCCTCTCGGCTTCCTTCTCTACAGATATAGCGAGTTCATGCAGTGTTGTCATCGTATTGCTTCTCAACAGGGACATAAAGGAGCCGAAGAACGTGAAACTGCTGTTCGACGTGCTGCGGTTCGAGCCGCCCGCCATACACCGCGCCGTGCTCTTCGTCACCAACAACGCGCTCGTCTGCGAGACGCCGGAGGACGCCTCGCGCGTCGCCTACGACCTCGACCGCAACAAGAACAGCAGATACGACGTACGTCTGCGACACAACACAACACGCACAGTGCTCCACCGACGTACACCCTCCTGATGTTCTTACGAGGTGACGAGGTGTTGTTTGTGTGCAGGCGCTGGCGCTGGACGGCACATTCTACCAGAAGTCGGGCATCATCTCCGGCGGCTCGCTCGACCTGGCGCGCAAGGCCAAGCGCTGGGACGAGAAACATCTCTCGCAGCTCAAGGCTAAGAAAGTAAGCTTTCTAACATCTACCTTCGTCTATAATAAACAAAAGTATCGGCTAAATACAAATCAGACATGTTACTGTACAGGAAAAATTGACAGAAGAGCTCCGAGAGTCGATGAAGAAGTCCCGCAAGGAGTCCGAGCTGACGACTGTGGACTCGCAGATCCGCGGCCTCGAGTCCCGCCTCAAGTACGCCATCACTGACCGCGACACCACCGTGAGACAACACAACACAACACTTATATCATTGTTTTATTTCTTACCTTGTTCTAAATATCATTCTAATTTCAGTTGAAGCAAATCAAAGCGCAGGACGCGGAGCTGGCCGAGCTGGAGAGGAAGATTGAGATGTTTGGAGTAAGTGTTGTTAATATTTCTGTGGAGCAAAGTGTTGCGCTCTACTTACGTGAACCATCGTACTACAGCCGCAGGTAGAGGAGATCGAGCGCACGATCCGCGCCCGCGACGCCCGCATACAGGAGGTCAAGGAGAACATGAACAACGTGGAGGACGTCGTCTTCCGCGGCTTCTGCAGGGACATCGGCGTCGCCAACATCAGGTCAACGACGCGACCGAGCTACCTCATCACAGTGCCAGCAAGCGGGTGCTAATACCATTGTATCACCTGCAGGCAGTACGAGGAGCGCGAGCTGCGCGCACAGCAGGAGCGTGCCAAGCGACGTATGGAGTTCGAAGCTCAGATGGACCGCATCGCCTCCAACTTGGAGTTCGAGCGCTCCCGCGACACGCAGAGTGAGCGCAGCGCGCACAGTTGTTGTGTGTACTGTGAGTGTCGCTCGCAGTGATGTGATGTGATGTGATGTGATGTGTGTTTGTCGCGCAGAGAACGTGACGCGGTGGGAGCGCACGGTGCAGGACGCGGAGGACGAGCTGGAGGCGGGGCGGCAGGCGGAGGCCAAGCAGCGGCAGGACATCGACCGCGAGCTGCGCCGCGGAGAGACGCTCAAGGCGGACCGCGCCGAGGCCAAGCGCCGCCAGCAGCTCGCAGACGACGACGTCGCCGCGGTCGGCACATCTCCCACCTTGCTGTACAAACATTACTGTGTATGCCGCTGGCACACTAGTAACATGTGCTGTCTTCATTCCAGGCTCGCAAGGACCTCGCCAACATTCAAAAAGATATTCAAACCATACAGAAACAGATCTCCAGCTTGGAGTCGAAAATAGAGAGCAAACGCAGCGACCGACACAACATCTTGCGTCAGTGCAAGGTGAGATACACAAAAAATATGTTTTAAATTGTTACATCCTGCTCCGAGGACTATATTATGTGAATGTCTTACAAACTGTACGATTCGTTCCAGATCGATGACATAATAATCCCGCTGCTGGAGGGCAGCCTGGACGACACTGCGGACACGGAGTCTGAGCAGTCCTCGATGTCCACCACGCAGCAGTACCGGCGCGACTCCAGGTCCGCACAATACTCACCTTACGTTTAGGCTACATTGGATACAATAGGTTTTACTTGTGGTGTGTATCGTGTTGCTCAGGATCCGCGTGGACTACTCCTCGCTGCCGGAGTCGCTGCAGGAGCTGGAGGAGGCGGACGAGGTGAAGCGCAAGGCGGACAAGCTGCAGAAGAACATCAACACGCTGCAGAACACCGTCGACAAGATACAGGCGCCCAACATGCGGGTACTGTAGCATTGACACATTTATATACAACCCTTGTGTTTCTTTGTTCTAAAAATTTTAAGCAATATAGTTAAAAACATACAAATACAATTTTTAATATTCCAGGCGATGCAAAAACTGAACGAAGTGCGTGAGAAAGTGAACGCGACCAACGAGGCGTTCGTGGCGGCGAGGAAACGCGCGCACAAAGCCAAGCTCGCCTTCGAGAAGGTCGTATATTCAATATTCATGAAAAGCACATTTGTGTAATAGTTGACATTCAGATGTTAACGAAGTATGAAATGTGTTGCAGGTGAAGAAGGAGCGCCACGACAAGTTCGTGGACTGTTTCGAGCACGTCGCCAACGAGATAGACGCCATATACAAGGTAACTTCACCGCATACTAACTTTAACCTTTTTCTTAATATTTCAACTAATCAGTTTCCCTCCTACTCGAATGAATATTTCTAAATAGAGATATATTTGCAGGCGCTGGCAATGAACCAGTCGGCGCAGGCGTTCCTGGGCCCCGAGAACCCGGAGGAGCCGTACCTGGACGGCATCAACTACAACTGCGTGGCGCCCGGCAAGCGCTTCCAGCCCATGTCCAACCTCTCCGGTGGCGAGAAGACCGTCGCCGCACTCGCTCTGCTCTTCGCCATACACAGGTGACACACACACGCGCACACGCACACGCACAGATCTATGTGATGTGTCGCAAAAACAAACAGTAGAATGTTGTCGCATTGTATGCAGCTACCAGCCGGCGCCCTTCTTCCTGCTGGACGAGATCGACGCGGCGTTAGACAACACCAACATCGGCAAGGTGGCCTCCTACATCCGCTCCAAGAAGGGCAGCCTGCAGACCATCGTCATCTCGCTCAAGGAGGAGTTCTACGGCTGCGCGGACGCCCTCATCGGCATCTGCTCGGAGGTCAGCCACGCCCCCCGGCCCCGCCCACCTCCCTCACACAAATACCGCAATTACAATAACGACTAACTACTGTCTCAATTTTTACTAGTTTTCATTATTTACTTAGAAGCTATTGTGTGTGTGTTGCAGCCTGCGGACTGCCTGGTGAGCGACGTGTACACACTCAGCCTGGAGCCCTACCAGCCCTGACCGCGCCCGCACCCGCGCCTCCGCCCCTCCTCTCCTCACTCTATGACATTTTTAACTATTATATTTTATTAATTAAGTCTATACGTTTGTTTCATTTTCAAAGTCGTTACCTTCACAGATTATAATCATCATTATATTGTACAGTACAAATATATTTAAACGAAACAGGTGATTTTTACATGAACATTTCCAAATGAACATCCCTAACCACTGCGTTAGGTTAGTTTGAAGTTAGATGAAACATGAAGGAATTCTTTGGCTCTTCAATAAAACGATGTGTTTTAAACAAATTATATTTAATGATTATAAAAAATATACAACTCCATCATAATCTTACAATATAATATTCTGAAGACGCGTCCTCAGTACAAAGCTTACAATCAGAGAAACTTACAATCTGTTAAAATATTGCTTACGTATTAGTAGCAGGCGCTTGAGTTGGCACGTCGGCCAGACAAGTGGCATTCTTCCCGACGTGTTAACTCAAATTTATATATTATTTTGCTATTGTCAGGAACATTAACTTTAACATATTTGAAATAAAATAAATTCACATTTTTAGAACAAAAAATATTTATATTTTTTTATTAAAGTCTAAAAATGCCATTCCTATAGTAACAACAACTGTACTGTTTCAGTGAACACACGCACACGCAAACCTTTTGTATATATTTTCTTTACATTTATGAACGTGTAACAAATGTCATATAATTAATTCAGTACAAAACAATTTTAAATCATTAATAATAACTTAATCGTATGAGCAATTCATAAACAAAACATATGCTTATTTTATCTAAATGCTTCAAAAATATTTTACTTTCACCAAGAAGTGCAGGCTCTAGGCGATAGTTACTAAAAACAATGAAAATAAAGATTAGGAGTCAAAAATTGTCATAATGACATTGTTAGTTCACATATTTTCCGACTACCGGAAGATCCTTGTCGAACTTCAATCGATCACTTGTTCAAATACATATTGTGCCCCTTCTTTTTATGGAGCAGATTTATGTTTGTTGTGTAGATGTAGCATAGCAGTGTCAGCAATGGAAGTCACCGACATCCCTCACTCATACTATAACATAGTCAAATGGCAGTGAATAAAGGCACATCTCACACAGCGCTGCCTCAACATTCATGTTAACTAGACAAATCTTGAGTATTCAACGACTTAAATAACACATACATTATTCCTTAGGAAATAATCAATTGACACAAATACAAAGCCCAGCAATACCTTCCATAGTAGACTTTTCTTGTTTCAATTATGTCGAAATTAGGTAAGGGAATTGAAAATGTATATTATGGAAATAAGAAGTTCTAAACGTAATTTTATGACCTCATTAGCGATCAGGTTGTTGAGCGCGTCCTTCATTGTTTAACATTTACGAAGATATTATTCGGAGCTTTACGCGAATACAAATTCCTCAAAAAATATACACGTAATTGGGCATTCACGCTGTCATTTTCATTATTTTCAAGGCGTGAACCTTACTACATTAATTAATGTATACGTGTAGAGTTTGTGAGGACTCGCAGCGGGCGCGGCTCGGGTGTGGGCGTGCGGGCGAGCGGGCGGGGGCGGGGCCGCTACAGCTGGTCGGGCGGGTCCAGCGAGCTGCAGCGGCACGAGCACGAGCTCACCGGGCACTCGGAGTGCTCGCTGACAACAACCACACAGATCACACCACGAACACTACTTACTAAGGCAAAGCCAAAAATAGAAAAATTAAAGACTTAAACAAAGTTAGAAAAAATACACTCACCTGAACCACTGCAACAAGTGAGCGGCGTGTCCCCCGTGCCGGCACGCCACGCACCAGCTGAACCACCCGCCGAACTGCGCCCCGCCCACGCCCACGCTGCCGCCCACGATGCCGCCCACCCCGCCCCCCACTCCGCCCACGCCGCCCACGCTCACGAAGCCGCTGCCCGTGCCCAGGTGCAGCAGGCACACGCCGCAGCGCGGCAGCGGCTTGCGGCAGTTCGGACACGACGATATCTGTGTGACAAGCGAGGAGCGGACGTAAACACGCGAGCGCGTCACCGCATAGAGTAGTGGAAGAATGGTGTACTCCGCACCTTCATCTTGTTGGCGGGCGGCGGGAGGCGGGCGAGCGCGGCGCGCGGGCGGGCGCTGTGTGCGGGGGCGGCCACGCACTTGCCGCAGTAGTTGCAGGCCACGCCCACGCGCCGCGCCGCCGCCAGCGCGCCCGCGCCCTCGCCTGCCTCGCCCGCGCACGCGCACACACACGTGTCCAGCGCGCACCGCGCCCACCACATGCGCCAGCCGTCCAGCAGCGTGCGGTAGCTGCGCAACAAGCGAACGGTTCAAGCGTCGACTACGATAAGCCGAGCCGAGCCGAGCCGAGCCGAGCGGCGCGCACCTCTCGAGCCAGGCGGAGACGCGGCGGTCGCGCAGCAGGTCGGCGGGGCAGCAGCGTGCGGCCAGCAGCGCCGCGGACTGCACGTCGCCCGTCGCCTCCACCCAGCGCTGCAGCAGCGCCACACCCTCCGGACTCACGCCTGCGCACACGCACACGCACACGATACAGGCGATGTGCCGCGCCGCAGGCAGCGCGGGGCCGGCGGCGCGGCTGCGGGACCGACCTGTGAGCAGGATGCCGGCGAGGTCGCCCTGCTCGGTGAGAGCCTCGCAAGTGGCTCGCACGTACTCCTGCAGCCGCCCGTCCGGTAGGAAGATGCACGCGAACGCCACGCGGTCCTCCAGCCGCATCTCCGTCTCGTTCTGTTCGCACCCGAGTACTTTATTAATTATCCTCGATAGTTGATGCGTCAAACGCCATAAGAAGTCGTATGCGTGGTCTCACGAGCACGGCGCTGAGGTCGGGCTGCGCGGCTCCAGCACTGGCGGTGGCGGCCAGGAAGTGCAGCAGCGCGCGCAGGTAGGCGTCGGGCAGGGCCGGCGCCGCCGCACTCATCGCGTCGCGCCACAGCCGCTCGTCCGCGCCCGGACCCGCCAGCGCTAACATTACATTTCATATGACAACCAATGCGATCTGCTAAGATTTTCCATAAACAATGATGATAACAGAAGAACAGCGAACCGAGTGCGGCGACGCGCAGACGGGGCTCCTGGGCGCGCGCCAGCACGTCGAGCGCGGCGCGCGTGCGCAGATGGAAGGCGGCGAGGGCGGCGGCGCGGCAGGGCGTGCCCTCCGCCTCCGCGCGCTCCACGCCCACGCCCGCGTTCTCCCAGCCCCAGCCCCAGCCGCACAGCTGCAGCGCGCACGTGCGCTCCGCACTCCTGACACACGACACACAACCCACAACGTCTATACCACGCACTCGAACGGCCGACTGTGTATGCGAGGAGGCAGAGGGCACATGTGAGACCTGTAGACGGTGACCTTGCGGTTGGGCATGTCGGGCAGCAGCAGCGGCACGGCCTCGGAGCGGTAGCCGCCGTCGCCCGGAGCGCGCAGCACCGTGCGCACGCCCGGCAGCTTCCACGGACTGTTGCGGAAGCATCCTGACACACACGACGCCACCACATTACCTTACTGACAGTAACATTTTCAAACGATCATACCGCTCTTCCGGTCGGCCACTTTACAATTGAAAAAAAAAGAATCTTACGATTAACACTGTTTTGTTTCACTTACCGTCCTCCACCAATGATTTGCTCAACGCCAGGAAGTGCCATAACCCACTCAGGGCCTCGTCCTCGGCCAGGTCGGCGTTTTGCCACAGGTCCGGCTGACGAGCAAAATAAACATTAACCGTGGCGCAACTTAAGATTGACATTAACACGATTTAGTCCGTGCGTACCTTGAGGCCGTAGTCGGTGGCGGCGCGACGCTGCATGCGGTGGGAGACGTCCTGCAGCGCGCCGTAGAAGTCGTCCCGCATGAGACGCAGCGCCCCGCCCCCCGCCCACACCACCCCGCCCCGCGCACCCCACGCCACCGTCACCCGCTCGCACACCGTGTACTCCACCACGCCGCCTGCAACACGCACACGTTGCCGCCGCACGCAGGGCCACTCACAAATTCATTCCTATTTATATGACACCGCCACCGGAGACGTACCAGAGAGGCAGAGCGCCAGCAGACGGGCCTCGTGCGCGGGGTGCCAGCAGAAGGCGGCGAGCGGCTGCGCGGCAGGGCTCACGTCGCGCTCCAGCACGCTCGGCCCGCGCGCCCCGCCCTCCTCGCCCTCCTCCAGCGCCGGCGTCGCCGACATCTGACACACGAGCCACATCACGCAACTTCATAGATCACTATCAGTTTCAACAAATTTAGGGGATACATACGGAACTGTCGACCGATTGTGATGTTCTGTACTCCTGCGCGTGCTGTATGTCGTGGAGACGCAGCGTGCTGGAGTCGCGCTGCAGCGACAAAAGAAGATTTCGTCTGGAAATATTACGCTTAATTTTTTTTATTTATTCCTTCGACATAATGAAATAAAAAAACGTGAGGTGCGGAGAATGAACCTCGTGGGACACCACTGTATCTTGCGGGGCGGGCGTGCGGAGGGCAGCGTGAGCAGCGGGCAGGCGAGCGCGCGCGCGTCCCACACGCAGACGCCGGCCTCGCCGCGCGACGCCAGCTGCCAGCCGCGCCGCGCCGCGCACACGCCCAGGCACTGCCGGCTCGTCGCCACGCCCACCGCCGTCCCGCTCTGCTCTGTCACCCCACACACATCGCCACCATCACCAACATTGCATATAACAAGCATTGACTGACTGAGAACTGACTGAGACTGTCGTCAAGTTACAATTTATGTATCAATATTCACCTCTTAGGTCATAAATCTTTATATGCTTCATATTCATGGATGCAGCAAGAGTGCGGTTGCCAAGATCTGTCCAGGCCACACTGTGAGCGGTCTCCGACAAGGCCAGCTCTGCAATAGGCCTCGCCGGCTCTGATTGAACGTTTGCAGTGTTATCTGGACAAATACCATAAGTACATTTTTAAATATACTTCTTAAAACTATAATTAAAAATCAAAATGTACAATGTAAGCTTGCTTAATGAATAAAATTTTACAAAATGAAAAGTTCATATATACCTGTAAATTCATCAGTTGACACAGAAGACCTGTTAGCATCCCAAACTTGAATACAGTTGTCACTTCTGTGCTTGTCCAATGCCACCGCAATGAGATTGGTCTCATCATGACTCCATGACAATCCATTACATGGACGTCCATACTTGGGCACTACAATATTTAAAATATCTGTACAATTTACAATTCATTACAAAATCATTAAGAAGAGTAAAAATAAATATTCTAAATTATACTTACCAAACTCTCTTCCAACAAGTCCTAATGGATCATATGTCTGTTTAAGGCTGGCGAGGGTAACTCTACCACTGGCATGTCCCAATGCAAGCAAGGGGTCAGGATGATCAGCTATAGCACTGATGTCGACACAGCGCACGCCGCTAGCGCTCTGCGATGCCACCACAGTTGCGCCTCGCGTTGACGATATCTGACTAACTATATAAATAAAACACAATTAACGCAACTTACAAAAATTATGTGTACAAAACACAAAATAGGAAATGCACCTAAATGTAATAGTTACAGAGAAAAGAAATAAATAAAATATTTAGATATCTTTCTTTTTTTACATACATGTAGTTTTCTTCTCAATTTCCGTAAGTTTTGCAACTTCATATAAGGTTATATCAGGACCCCAAACAATAAATTTATCGTGGTGCACCGGTGACCAGAGAATGTCTAATTTTGTTCCGGACATATTTTCCATCAAACGCGGATTTAGCACTTACTATACTTTCAGATTTACCAAATGTTATCGTTCAAAATTTACGATTTTATCATAGTTCTATTTTATTTTGTATGTTTTGATCAGTTTTTGATAGTCCAAGTGTCACATTTGACATTGATAACGATAACATTGTCATGACGTTCTGTTTCACATTCATTAAGCTTAAGGAAATAAAATAATAGTAAGTTACTCATGTTACTTTTCATTTTATTTTATTATTTTTTGAAAAAGGAATAGCAACCCTAGCTTATTACTTTGTTTTGAATCAGGCTGAAGGAACATCAATCTTTAAAAGGCAGGCCTGATTACCTATTATCCTACCATTTAATATAATTACTATGTAGCTACCTAGTATCTGAAAGAGAAGCAAGAATTATCTCATAACCCTCTTTTTTACTATATTATAATATTTTCGTTGTAACTTCATTTCGATTGTCTAGATGCCGCTAGTACAGCAAGAAGCTTATCAATGAACAATACGTATTCTATATACCTAAAAACATTACCTATTCTGTCGCTGATTGTTGTACTCTATTTAAATTCCTCCCACTTTCGTTCGTCATTTTTGACAGATTTGTGATAGCCGTGGAAGTGAATGACCAGTGACGAAATTAGTGAAATCTGTTAGCACAGTGAAATACCTGGAACAAGAAAACTCCGAAACGAATTCTCATTGATCTAGTGAGTGCGTAAGTTCTATGATATAGCACAGCATTATACAGAAAGCTGCTTTTAATTGGTTCGTATTTAGGTTCAGTGACGTGATTGTTTACAACAATGGCAACGCCTCTCGATCTCCCACAGTTTCTCGGCTATTGTCTTACGATTCTCACGTGTAAATGTGCGTTTGCAGACCGGGTTAACACACTGCTATTACTGTATACGATTTTAGTACAGCTACGCCCGCGGGGAGCTTCGACGCTGTGTTTAGCTCCGGCGTGACTCACGCGCCTGTCGTTGATTTTACGTGGTTTTTGATGCTCGCAATTTATCAGTAGCATATATTTGTAAATTGTTCAGTGGAGAAAGGTTCGTTTATGGGGCATGGGCACCCTAAGGCCTAGTAATAAGACTGCCTATAGTGCACAGTAATGTTTTCAGCTATTGCATACAAATTGTCTACAACATTTCTTGAAGAACAAAAGGTGAGAGCTTAGTTAGTAACTTTGAAATCGCCAATAATGTAGTGTACAATATCTGCCTGACTTTATTTACATGATGTTCCATTTGTAGACAAAAATTACACAAAAACTTTAAAGGATTACAGAGGGATTTGCTCTCCATCAAATCTAGAGCTACATGCAATTTTTTTCAAAATTATAGTTAAATTCAGTGAATGTAAAGACAGCTTAGATAATGACTGTAAGCATGAGTAATAATAGTCAAGAAATAATTAACCATTTGTTTCAATGTTAAAATAGTATGTTTCAGTCAACAATGTTGTGGCCATTAATCTTTTGATTTGAACTGTTTATGTTTAAACACTATTTTTACTACAATATTAATACTATTCTAATGCAATTCCAGCATTGATAGCTCTCCCAATCTTAATAACAGCTAATAGTTTTTATTTTTCCTTTCACAGATATGTGTAAATATACACAAACATTAAAAAAAATAGAATTATTAAGATTTTGCATTAAATATTTAAATAGATCTAAGATTATTTTACCTAGATACATGAGTATAAAGTAGAAAGGTCAGGTATCATACTGGGTCATGAAACACAGTGATCACTATTGTATAGTATTCTGAGAGAGCGGAGCACTCTTCACGCAGATTTCTCTTTCATAGCGAACCAAGTGGAAAATGATGCATTGTGCTATGAACATACCATGTTAATGTCTGCAATTGATAAATCTTAACATTTTATTGTGTGTGATGGCCCCATATCCCGCAAAATATTATTATATAGTTCCCACCTGAGATTTGTGTGAAAATATTTTTGGCATTGCTTATGTGCCCAATATACACGCATAATGTTTATTATAAAATAATATAAGCTTATCATGTCATAAGAAACCTGGACTTTTCTTGATTGTAAATCAGAGAAAGTTAAATTGCACTTAAACATATGTGTTAGGAAAGTCTAACTCATAACATGTTTTCTTGCAACTGGCCCGACAGAGTAAGATAAGCCATACAAAAAATGCTAATTAAAATTATTATTGTGAAATACATTCACAAATATATATCACACAACATGATTGATAGATAAACACTAGAATAATTTAATTATGTTCTATTCTTTGTAACAAAATGGTTGGAATGTTGATGTATAAGTTTTAGATCTGGCAATTCTCACATTGGCTTCCATACTGTAGTAGACTAGTAAGACACTAATGTGTATGTGTGTGTGTGTGACATAGACGGGAAGCAGAGCGGTGAGTCACAGCAAACTTGTGTAGAGCGTTTGAGTTGGCACGTTAGGCAGAGGTGTATACTTGTTCTTGATGTGCCATTAAATTAGTATATGCATTAGCACCACCATGATAATATTGTTATGTGTTTTCCAAAAAACAGTTGAATGATTATTGTTTTTCCAATTTTGTTGTGTATTAATTAATATCTCCAATCAATTATATAGATATCTTGTAGTTAGAAGCAAATTTCTTTCCATTTTTATTCCTCCTATCTACTAGTTATGTATGACAGTCAAGTAATTATTTAATTGTGTTGTTTAATTGGGTAATTAACCTAAGCAACGATTGTTGCATGTTAAATAACGTTAAAAGACACTCTTTAGGGACTGGGAGTTGTCCGAATTTCGTAGCATATAATCAATTTAAACCGGGTCAAATAGTGCTTGTAAATTTGTTATTTACGTTAGTAACGTTTTTTTTTTAAGTTATCTGTAGATCCCACTTTGATATTAATGCATTTGTTGTGTTGTATAAACGTAATATAAGCTTTCAACCTTAACCTTATTGTTTCAACATGTATCATTAGTTTTATTGAGTGTCAGGTTTCCAGCCACTGTAGATGCAATTCATCTTGGTGACTTTAGCTCTGGTCTAGGTTGGTGTACATTACAATATCGCGTTACAATTAATACGCAACACTATACGTATAGATCCATTAATTCAACTTTGTCGTAAATACAAAAATAAGAAATATTAAAGTTTGATGTCTTCAATTACATTTTAATATCAAAATAAAATTATGCTGAACATCTAAAATAAGTGACGGTAGTTTAGGAAGATAAAACGAGGCTTTCACTGCTGCTGCCAGGTTACATTGAGCGACTTGGTCGACAATGTCGCGTAACATATTGATTGCCTCCTCCTCTATGTCTATTTACATATTTGAAAGTAATACGCATTGCCGTTGGAAACATTGATTTTGATGTCACGATAGTTTCACTGTAAACTACGAAAGAACTATTCTAAAAAAAAGTTGGTCGCCATGCACGGTTCTTGTGTGGTCGAAGTTCAACTATAATTAGAACGACTCCTTCGTAGATTATTTATATTTCGGAGTATCTTGTGGGTTAGAATGTCTGGAAATGTATTCATTCCACAAGAAGCAATATATCTAAAATTTTCATGATTTCGTTATGGTGTTTTTATCTATAATACAACTCCTAAATTAATGTTGTTGAGCAATTCTTTCTATTGGTAAAAGTTTCGACTCGCTGTATTCCAAACTCATACAATCGTTTTAGTACGCATAAACATACGCGTTGCTTTGTCTGTATGTTTTGTTTACAGTAACATGCGCGTAAACAGGCGTGTTGTAATTCAGTTCACGCTGTATGCTTTCCATATAAAGTTGAGAGTGGACGCGAGCTGCCTTACTATGAGGACCTTGAAGGTCGGGAGAATAAACTCTGAGAGTTTACTTCCGTATCATCTGTACGATGTGCTGTGGGCGGAATGCCGGCGTCGTAAGTCTTGTTATTATAAAACAATTATGTGTATAGAAATCGCTCAGTTCATAGAACTAGACTACATTCACAGCTCAATGTTAACGTGCAATTACAGGTAATCTGTAAAATAGTTGTTGAAGCCCTGTACTGTTATTAAACTCTTGTACGCATATGTTAGACGCTATTATTGTTAAACATTGGATAATTTTACGTGTTTGTTGATGGCAACTGATGTTTACGAGGGCAACATGAATACTTTGTTGTATAAAACACCTTTTATTATACTGTTATGAGTGTTTCGAAGTTTTTATTTGTTAAGGATGTCATTACGGCGATTAGATCATACAATCGGCGGGCAAGTTACAATATTCAACTAATACGTGACTTCTTAGTTGAGTTTTTATAACAACGTCACTCCGTAGGCATTGTCTCACAGCGGGCTGTCTAGCGTGACTATCATTTCGTTAATCTGTATGACTCATTCCGAGTCCCGGCTTTGTTCGCGATCACAACCACAAAACGCGATGCAACAGCTGGTTAGCTTTCATAGTTTACTGCCTTTAACAGGTTGTTAGAGTTGAAAATAGTTAGATATTTATAGTTAGGCTAGGACAATACAAATAACAGACTATATTTTTGCGCGACTCCATGGTATTTGGGTTATGGTGATGTAATTACGTTAACGGCGGCCGTCATGCGAAATATTTAGGTTTGCGTGACGAGTTGTCTGTCCCCGATATAACAAACAATACATGACAATTTTTTTTGTTGTGGAAATTACTTTTGTAGAAAATTTTATTTGGCTAGTTTCCATTTTAATAGTTGCAAAAATGAATTAATTTAATTCAGTGAGCTGAGGGCCGCGTCCGCGAAATAATACCAGTATCACTCATCCTGGTGAAGGGCCCCCGATGGGCTCGAAACTAGTCGGTGCCGCTACCGGACGTATATACGAGAGTTTAGCCGTATTTATATACAGAATTAATTTTTATTAGCTGGCGATTCAGATTGTTTAGTAAGCGCGACAGATCACTATGTATATTTTATAACAGGCATACTAAATTCTACTTCTGATGAACTAGTTCCAAGTAGATACTCTTGTTGACGATTAAATGGCGAGCACGCAATCAATCACGCGGTGTGCACATTTTTTGTGCAGCGCACGCACAGTGAAACTTATGCCTTACCGAAAGTGCTTGTAGATGCACAATTTCTGTTTTATCATATTTTGAATAAACGCTTCTGTAACAAAGATTTATTAATAACGCGAAGTTGCACATACATATATTTTTTGTATGAATTAGATCACTGCGCTTTGTGTTTGTTGGCTAAGTGAACAGGAATGTTCGTAGGCGCCTGTCAGATAAACTGTTGCGGCCTTAATTGATTTAACAAAGTTAAAGAGTCTATGGAATGAGCCGAGCATAGAGTGCTCTTTTTTATTTCTTTCTTCTTCTTCTTGAGGTGCCTCTCCGACTAGCGAAGGTTGGCGATCAGTTCCCCATATTTCTTTCTTTTTTATTTCTTTATTAACGGTTAATGTTTTGACTTTAAAAAAATCTGTTATCGAAGAAGACTAGACTAGAGGAATACAAAAAAAAACTGTGTTGTGTAGCATTCCTAAGTGTCCTCTCCAAAGAGAGCGCAGTGAAGTGCACGCATTGTGTCGACTGTTGACGACTTGTGCTCCTTGTTGAAGCGTCAGGTCGTCGCCACGTCTGTGTTCAGCCTAATTAGTAAATAGTAATTCCGCCAAACTAAAAAAAATAGATTTTTAAAATTAAGAAAGCGGATGTTCTAGATTGTAAAAATGTTTTTTTCTGGACTATGCTGGTGTTGGTAGTGTACCTTCGTATTCGTACCATGCGTGTAGCTATTGATGTTTGAAAATAATTGTGCCTTTGTAACGAACTTATAACTAATTCAAACATAAACTTGTTGATGTTGTTGTTGTTGTTGTTCTTGATCAGAAATGTGTTTGCACGGCACAGTGCGTGCACTCCTTCTCTTCCTATAAACAATTTTACAAACAAAGTTTCATTTTATCTTACTTCTTACTAATGTTAAATGGATGGATTAATGTTTGTTAGAAGGTATGTACAAAAGTTCTACGTATCTCGCTGAAATTTGGCATGGATCAAGAAGAACACATATGCTACTTATTGTTCTTTTTCTATTAGGTGCGAACAAAGTCGCGGACAACAGCTTGTCATTTTTAAATATTGTAATTTTGTTATTTATTACGTCAAACAGCTTTGGTTATAGCGTTTGTCACGATTAATATTCATTGTCAGGGATGTTCAGCATTCGTTTACCTCGCCTACACACTCCCCTATAAGTAGATTTATCATTCAAACAACTAATAACTGAAGTTCTCTACAAAATGAGATTATATCTAGTCGCGCCTATGACGCGTGCAGACCTCATTTGGATTTCATAAACGATTTTATTTTTTTGTATAGGTTATCTTTAAGTGGTATCAAACGTAGTCGTTGTTAAATGTTTTTGTACTTGTCCATTCCTATTTATAATATTTGTATACGTAACGTTATAATTTCGATACTTGGTCGAGAGAAGCTGAACGGTAAATGCGAAACAAAATACATTTTGTACGCAACAAGATTTCACACTTTCTCTAATTATTGGACACCAATATCTGCGTAACGGTACTTCGATGAAATTGTTTTAAAAAGTTTACTTGAATTTTGACGTGATAATAATCGTTTACTGATCGTAAAGGTACTCTCTCCGGACGCTTTCCCGCGCTTTATTCGATACTTATCAGTAGCACCCACCTAATGGATGAGACGGCATAATGACTGGTCGAGATTTTGTTTTTTATCAACCTGTAAAATTTTCATCAAATATGACTTTTGTATGTTATCCCAAGAGCTTAACATATTGATAGATAGATTATGTTTTGTTTGTATGTCATATTTCGGCACTTAATGTAACGGTGTTGTAATAAGAGCTCATGGTAACAGTTTTGTGAGCGATATTGACATAGGCGATAGTACATAGTGGTATTGTAAGGCGTGTTGTGTTGTACAGGTGTGCGCGGCAGCAGCGAGCGCGATGTCTAAGAAGCCGGCGGCGCAGCCCACGCTTCACAAGGTGATCATGGTGGGCTCGGGCGGCGTGGGCAAGTCCGCGCTCACGCTGCAGTTCATGTACGACGAGTTCGTCGAGGACTACGAGCCCACAAAGGCCGACAGCTACAGGAAGAAGGCAAGACAATACCATATTCATCCTAATTATTCTCAAAACCTGCCTTGGTCCTTCGAAAGAGCGTGCCACCGCATTTCTTAAACTTAATGAAATTTGTTTCGATCATCGGATGTGGTTTGCTCAGTAACACAACCATTAAATCCTTTATTCTTGGTTCATCAGTGTTTTATCTTCCTGAACGTGTGACGCAGTTTGTCGCTTGCCGATCAATCTGTATTGGCTTTTGACACACTATTGCTTGCTATTGCCTCTAATCTGGATAAAAGCGGCGATAAGGCATGTGATAGCGGTCGGTAACAGCTGATAGTCGATAGCCGCGCGTGGCTTTTAACAATAAAAACATTCATCTTTTACAATACAAAGATTACGTAAATTGAATAACTAGTAATGAAGTTGCGCAGGACACCACTTCGAATATAATTTCTACTGAGTTATGAACTATGTGACAAATAATATTTTTAGAAAACAATGACACAGTTTATTTTACTACTGATTGAATTGCAACTGAGAAATATTCACAATAAGTAAACTAAGTATCAGGTTTGGTGTTCCTCTGCAGGTGGTGCTGGACGGCGAGGAGGTACAGATCGATATCCTGGACACGGCGGGCCAGGAGGACTACGCGGCCATCAGGGACAACTACTTCCGCTCCGGTGAGGGCTTCCTCTGCGTCTTCTCCATCACCGAGCCGGAGAGCTTCGACGCCACGCAGGAGTTTAGGTACAAAAACGAACTGAGTTTGTTCTTTTTCAGGAAGTTTTCCTAAGTGCGAAAACAATAGCCAATGTTGATGTAATATGTTATCGTTGTTATATTCCAGGGAGCAGATCCTGCGAGTGAAGAACGACGAGAATATTCCGTTCCTGCTGGTGGGCAACAAGTCGGACCTGGGCGACAAGCGGCGCGTGCCGCTGGATGCGTGCCGCGAGCGCGCGCACGCCTGGCAGGTGCCCTACGTGGAGACCTCCGCCAAGACGCGCGACAACGTCGACAAGGTGCGTTATACATACACACGCACACACACACACACACACACACGAGCACGCATGCGTTCCCGCACACGCAGAACCCGTCACTCTAAGTAAATAGTATTGGTCGTTAGATTACATCTGCAAGTTAAGACTTGGATACGAGTCTTTAATCATATGTTGTTCCCTGTTAGACAGTGAAAGTCGCTGTTACATTCTTACGTCTATGTTATTCCAATGTTTTATTAAATAAACGTTCATAAAATGGTCACACGTGCTGAAAATACGTCGCTGTATGAGTCAGAGGAATCGTGAATGTACTATCGCGCACTGTTCACGGTTACGGCAAATAATTATCCTGAGTTGTTTTTATTATGTTTATGGCAATGAAAGACGACGGCAACTGAATGAAACAAAGTTTTAAGTAATCGCATCTCGTCAATAGTTTTAATTCGTCGGGGTTAGTAGTATAATGTAGTCGCGCGCTGTACCGAGCCTGTTTGCCGCACAGCTTCCGCTGCCTACACTACACCGTGCACTATGTTCTTACATTTATTTCTTTTGCTTTTTAAATTTCATGCATGAGAAAACTAATGAAAACTACATAGGCTATGTTTTTAAAACTACTATCTTATCGAAATAAATCATAGTGCAAAATCACTAAGTGTGTTGTGTTGGATTTTATAACGTTTAGTGATTTACAACCGCGGCCCCGTAAAGTCGGAAATAAAACAAATTGGTTTTATGACGATGGGCCAAAGTTACAATATTTTCAAGAAAAGCAAGTGCAGTGCTGTAACTTTGACTCCGGTATAAGAGTAATAAATAAAATTTTAACATTGACACAATGCACTTCCTGTATCGTTCATTTTGATACGAGAACCTGAAGGAAAGTTAATTTCTTTAATAGGTATAGGAAATGTTACATAGCTGACTACTATTTGTATATAGCCGTAACTGTATTTTGTTGTGTAACTGTGTTCGGTGTTGGGTGTTGGGTTCTCGCGCAGTGTGTGTGTGTGTGTGTTGCGTGTGCGTGTACGTGCGTGGTGGTGTCGGTGTGTGCTGACGGGTGCCGTGTCTTGTCTCGCCGCAGGTGTTCTTTGACCTGATGCGGGAGATCCGCTCGCGCAAGTCGGACGACAGCCGCGCCGCCAACGGCAACGTGCGCGACAAGGTCAAGCGGAGAAAGATCAAATGCGCCATATTGTAGGTCGCCGCGCCCCGCCCCGCCCCCCGGCACGCCCCCGCAGCCGCCGGACACTCCCGCGCCTCCTGTATAAACTGTATCTACGACATTCGCCCGTTTTGGTGCTGGTATTTTATTGAATACTGTTCCTAATGAAGTTGTTTGTAACGTACGCGCTCCACTCGACAGAATGTAACGAGCTCATTGCGAACAGAATTCTGTAAATGTGTTTGTTACGTTATGAAACATTACGCTTGCGCGTTATTTTGTTATTATATTTAGCGTCTAAATATTTTTGATCTGAACAAGAAATGCATAGGTGACATAGTTTTGTGATAAAGGTATGTACGTCTTATACAAGAAACGATGAAATTCAAATGCGATTTTTTATTTTCTGTGAAGATTTTCTTTTGTTCTTAAAATATGGAAATATGAGCGGCTGACCATGTGTCCGTCTCAGTACTTGTTAGTGTGTAGGTACGTACAACACGTCAGTGGGGCGCACACACTGTTGTGTGTCGCACAGTGTTGTGTGTCACACAGTGCTGTGTGTCGCACAGTGCTGTGTGTCGCACAATGTCGTGTGTGTGTGCTCGGCCGGACGTTGGAAAACGTTGTATTTATTACTTAGCTCGTAAGCGCTAAATGTGTCTTGGATTGCATTGTGTCTCTGTTTATAGAAATATTTTCTTGTGAATATTGCCAGGAGTCGGTCATACGAGTAGCGGCTATATTACAGTTCCATATTCAAAGCTAAAGCATGCCTGTATTGCTCACTCAAATATTTAAATATATTGATAACTTATTATTAATTGAAAGCACGTGAATAACAAAATATTTCTATACAACAAGGCAAGCTAATAGCCGCGGCTCAGTCCGGGGCCGCGCGAGCCGCCAGCACGTCGCCAGCACGTCGCCTCACCGCTCATTCTGTTTGCTTTGTTATTTACAATAATAAGCATAACATATTTTTTTGTAAAAGATACGTTTTATTTTATTGCAATTCATGGGACGTTTTGAAATGCTAAAGCATGCTATGTATAACTTTTCATATTCCATCAAATTTATAAAATGAGAGGTAAAATAGATGTATGTTGATTGTGCGAGTGCTTGTGCCGGCTGCAGGTCTGGTCCCGGACAGCTGCTTGATAAGACTTACATTATGTAAGTGAGTTCTGCGAGTGCTTGATGTCTGTGTAAATGTTGCCGCTGCTGGGCTGTGACTGTGCACTATGTCAGCTGTCTCGCTCACTCGCATCCCTCAACACATTGCGATATTTTTCGCATACGAACATCTTTGCAAATACTTTTACGTCTGATTTATCTTTGGGGATTCTTTCATAATGATTCTTACAGATAGCTGACATAGTCCAAACAAAGTCCTATTCATAGAAATAATAGGAAACAGTACACTCGCCATTTGTTTAATGGCTTGTAATGCAAAATAATTTTATCGCGTTTAAAAAAATATATCATTGTATTATTTTTTCCTGTATGAGTTAAAAAGTTTGTTTGAATGGATCATGATATCTATGAATAGGGCGTTTTTAAAATATTTTTAGTTATCAATATTATTTTATAAATTTTCAAATCATTTAGAAATAGTCGGTCCAAATAGTAATGGCGACATAATCTTTTATTTTTAAGTATTTTTCACATTCTATCGCCTTCGTTATAATACGCGTTTTTATTTAAAATTTAATTATATTTCATGTTTAAAATGTCAAGACGGCTCGTATTTTACCGCTTATTTTCATTTATTTAGATAGTTTTAAAATATGTTTAGTATGATTGTACTTCACTATTTATAATATGGAACGATGTATGATTCCTATATGTTAGATATTGCTAGCTATTTCTAGGATATATGTAAATTTGTACGCATTTTGTGTCTGATAATCTCAAATAAGACAGGAATTGTACGCGACCAACGAAATATCCATAAAAATATTGTATAGTTCATGTCATTGTTTAATATAAACTCCATTTCTCACAGTGAACTTTTATGATGGGATATTTCATAATTTTTAAATATTTAAATAAATAATTGTCAAGTAATATATAAAGTGTATATTTTGAATACGAACATTGTCGCACGCTGTGCATGCGATCGCATAACAGTAGCCAGTAAAAATGACCGCCGTATGTCACATCTCGTATATAACCTGTACACATTTGACAGCTGTCACAACTGTCAAACTGACAGACAAAGCCTGGAGCCTTTTTCAATGTACTAGATGTAATCAAATAGGTATCAGTTGTAGTTCAGAATTAATTAAAAGGGAAATAAGAACTAATTCTTGTTTAATTTATTCTGATTGTACTCGGCGAGATGCATGCGAGAGCGCTGCCTGCGTTCACACTAATATTGTGCTAATGAAACGAGCAAAATATACAGATTTACAGAACTAAGCGTCTCATTTATTAGTCACTATTATTTAAGTACCCATGTTTAATATAAGTATTGAAATGTGGATTCAGGTGAGTTGAAATTAATTGTTAATATCCTTATATGTATATCTTCAATGCATTTAACTGTTGTACTGTGATTTGATGATTTGTTGTTAAGTATCAAAATATTTAATAGTTTATCATTCAGTACACTTTTAATTAAACGATAATCACTAAAGTCAGTTTTATAAGCCACTTATTAACAAGTAGACTGGTCAATGAACACATACTTAGGGTTAGAAACGGGTTTAATTATATTTTCTACTTTGGCAGGCGTTCCTGACGCTGATCCGCACGATGTCGCAGCAGAAGAAGGGTCTGTCCGCAGCCGAAGAACCCGGCGACAAGCGCAAGCAGCTCTGCTCCGTGCCCTGCTGCCGCATCGTGTAGCACGACACGCTGCACACCACAGCGCAGTGTTGCCCACTCTAAGCAGCGTTGCCCACACTACGCAGTGTTGCCCACGCTAACCACCGCTGCTCAGAGTATGCAGTGTTGCCCACACCGTGCTTAGCGCACACTTCTCGATGCTGCGCACTGCTCGAACTACTTGTGTACTTTTCCTTTCGGTGATCGAGGGTTTTTTGTTATATTGATGACAAGGTTGAGGTCTCCACTCGTTATTAATATATTAGGTTTCTTCTTGCATTGGGCCAGTTATGATTACCCTTTATTTATTTAAGTGTTAAAAGCATTCATAAAAAATAAATGCATTCATAATAAAGGCACATTTTATACTATTTTTTAAGAAGTGATGTACTATATTTATCAATTCTTATTGAAAATTAATTTTCAAATCAAACGCAAAGAAAATAAAGAAGTGTAAGTGTGTATCACTGAAAACACTTTTAGAAATATCAAGAGTAACAAAACTCTGCCAGTTTTGCTAATCTTGATAGTATGACTGGCAGAGTTGTGGACTGAGCGTTCAGTTCACTCCAGTCCCGGTTTCAGAAGCAGCAAGCAAACTATGTAAAGTACAGGATGAGAGACATTCCACTGCCGTTTATTTATAAATCTATATATTATTGTATTATACTTTTCGATTATTGTTAAAAGCAGTATTAAGTATTTAAGTTTATTCCTATATTGTAAACAGATTATGTAAATAAATAAATAAAATGTACATATAAATAGTGGTTTTACTTTTATTTTTGTCTTTTGATAAAAATTATAAAAAATTTCAGTCCGATTTATAAAAAACTTAATATATTATTAACAAAGCATATTTACATAACAATAACATATTCATTGAGTATATTAATATTGCATTTTATATAAAACATACAAATAACACTACGGGGCGACTACATCCTGACTGCAAGAAATTAACCGTTACGATGATTCGTTTCGCTGTCTCTTGACAGTTTAATGTTTAGAAATAATTACTGGCGCACTCAACTAGTTGATTTGTTTCTTAAGCCGTCTGCGTCATTTACTACTCTCGAATGCGGCAACAAGGATGGGAAGGCTACACTAGGGTGTGGTCAGGCGAGCTGGCAGTAATGTCCGCAGCCGGCGGGGCAGATGCGGTGCTGCTGCATCCAGGTGCGCATGTGCTGCAGGTGTCCGCCGTGCGAGCAGCCCTGGCACCACGCGTAGAGGCCGCGCACCACCTGCCGCAGCACAGACACATGAGTGACAGAAGCGACGCGGAGGAGACAGGAGGGCGGTGCAGCATACCTGGTGGCAGACGGCGCAGAGGTCGGGGCGGCGCGGGGCGCAGCGCTCGCAGGGGGCGCGCGTGCGCGTGCGGCGCCCGCACCGGCCGCAGCACGCCGCCACGCTGCTCGACTGCTGCGACAGCGACCACACGCTGCTCAGCCACGCGCACCGCACCACCTGATATCCACACCGCTTACTACAACCTAACCTAACCCCTATCCTAGTCAACTTATTTTTTCTAAAAAAAATTTTCGACTCTAGCAGCATTTAACAAATAAAAAAACCTTTGACTTCAATGTAGGTGATCACAAGGGTATCGTACGTACTTCAGTGGCGACGTTCCAGAGCTTGTGGCGGTGCAGCAAGTCGATGTAGCCGAGCAGCCACTGCTCCTGCAGCGTCTCCTCGATGTAGGAGAAGAGGTCGCTCCTGTGCTCGTGCAGCACGATGCAGACGACGGCGGCGGTCTGCACGTCGCCCAGCGCCGCGTGCAGCTGCAGCGCCTGCGCCAGCAGCGGCGCCACGTCCGGCCTCGCGCTGCGCTCCTCGCCCACTCGCACCGACAGCGCGCCCGCCTCGCCGCCCTCGCACCCCTCGCAACCCTCCGCCTCCTCCGTCTGCACAGCACGCACACACTCACACATGCTGTATGCACTACGAGGTAAACTGATACTGTGTGCCGACACATACCGTACTGATCGAGTTCTGGTGGCTGTATGTGCGGTGCGCGGCGTCGTGCGACCCCGAGCCGCCCGACGCGCCCGAGCTGGACCCGCCCGGGGAGGAGCTGCCGCACCCCACGCCCCCTAACACACCTACGAATATACATTATGTTACACTCCAATTATGAACTCCCGTGAGGTACATGTATGTTGACGTGTACTCACCGTCGTGTTCGATATCGTCGTAGTGGTGGTGGAGGTGTGCGAGGTGCGGCAGGTGGGCGTGGTGCGGGAGGGCGTGCAGGGCGAGCGGCGCGGGCGGGGCGCTGCGCAGCGGGAACGCCTCCTCGGGCAGCGTCCAGTCCAGCGCCTCTATGTCCACGTAATGCGCGGAGGCCGCTGACACCCAGCCGCACCCCGCATCTGCCGCATTATAACACTGATAGTTATAAGTGGTCGCCGACCTCACAAATATTGTGAAAAAGAAAGTAGTATCAGGTGATCCTCCATGCTCAATTTGACATTATGGTCGGTGATAGAATCATAAGCATAATGCAACTGGAGATACAATCTAGCATGGTGGGTACGAGACGGAGCAGATATTCACCGTCGTCGCGCATCTGCTTGGCGTACTTGGCGGGAGGGATGTAGATGCTCTGCGTGGGCAGGCCCAGCACGCCGCTGTTGTGGAACTGGTTCTCCTCCCACTCCTCCTCCACCTCGCCCATCGGTTCCTCTTCTACTGTGCTGCGGTTGAACGATCAATTTCATTTGTAGTCGTCGTAGCTCCTAGGTGAGGCAAGCTGTGTTGTGGTCGCGTCTCGTAGCAGTTAAAGTACCTGTAGGCGGGCGTGGCGGGGGGCGGGTCGTCGCGGGGCGGAGGTGCGCGGGGCGGGGGCGGTGCGGGCGCCCGGCGGGCAGTGGCGCGCGCCCCGCACACCGCACGCACCACCTCCCACACGTGCTCCACCTGGTAACCGCATACTTCTATGTATTAACTTTTTTTATAAGTAAAAAATTGCATTACGATAGGTGTGTATATTTACACAATGTCGCTGCGCCTCCCTGGCGACTGCGGCGTTGTGCTTGGCGAGCAGGTGGGGGGGCTCGCCGCGCATGCGGTAGCGGCGCGCGCAGTGCAGCAGGGCGTCAGCGGGCGCGGCGTGCGCGGCGTGCGGCGCTGCGGAGGCGACGGGCCAGTGTCGCGCCACCACGGACGCGGCGCCGCCGGGAAACG